AAAAAAAAAAAAAAAGAAAATAATACTGTGATGCTTGATAAGCAGTCTTTGTCCTCTTGCTTTAGTGATTTAATAAAGTGAAATTTACTTAATAGTCAGTATTGAAAAATTTCCTGTCGAACAAGTGTTTACTATCTTTTTACTGTAGCTGAGCTTCTTACTTTCAAGAATGTTGTATTCCCAAGGACAAAACTGGCCAATGTTTGTGCTTCTTCTCTTTGCATAACTTGCTCTACTCTTCCTTCCCATTATCATATAGTGGTTAGGCTCCAGTTTTCTAGAGCCAGACAAGTTAATTACCTTCTCATGCCTCTGTTTTCTCATCTATAAAATGGGGATAACAGTGCCTGTCTCACATGATTGTTGTAAAGAGTAAATATGCCACTATATATAAAGCAGTTAGATGATGCCTGGCCTGTACAAAGCATTCTAGAAGTGTTAGCTCTGCCTGTTTTATCTTGTGTAGAATGCTAGCACCTGTAAATTAATAAGCTTTGGTCATCTTAGAATTTATAGTCAGGATGATAAGGAATGCTGATAAAATACTATTTTTCTAGATTATTCCTTTTCATGACTGAAATAGCTGTATTTTTAAAATAGTTTTGCCATTATCAGTTTGAGTAAGAAATAAATTACCGCAGCTGTTCAGCCAGTTTCTACCTGTACCACCAGTTGCCATCAAGTCAGTTCTGATCCATAGCGACCTCATGTGTGTAAGAATAGACCTGTGCTTTCTAGGGTTTTCAGTGGCTGATTTTTCAGAAGTAACTCACCAGGACTTTCTTCCGAGGTGCCTCTGGGTGGACTTGAACCTCCAACCTTTGGTTAGCAGCTGAGCACATTAACCACTTGTACAACCCAGGGACTCCCAGCCAGTTTCTAAAGTCATTTAATTCTTTTGTCTGGAGATGATGATGATGACAGCTAGCACACTCATCCAGAACTTACCATGCTATGAGCATTTATGTATTTAATTCTCACAACAACCCTCTGAGGTAAGCACGGTTACTCTCCTCATTTAAGAGTTGAAGAGACTGAGGCACCAAAAGGGTGCTTGTTCAAATTTATACACCTAGTATATGGCAGGGGCATGATTTGAACCTGTAAGTCTGGCTCCAGAGTTCTTAACAGCTGTCACTGTCTGGTCCCTGCCCACCTCTCCAACTTCATCTTCTCCCACTCCCTTTCGATATAATTCAGCCACAGAGCATTCTGCTCCTTGAATGTCCTGCCTCAGGGCCTTTGCATTTGCTGTTACCTTGCCCAGAATGCCTGGCTTATCTTTCTGGTCAACTCAAGTGTCACCTTTCATGCCTTGTCTAAATTCTACCATCCCTGCCTCCATCACTCCTTATTACATTATCCTGTGTTCCCTTATCACAATCTGACTGCACTAGAGCAGAAAGAGGCCTTTTCTGTCATGCTCACTGTTAAATATCTGGCACCGCACTTATTAAAATTTGTTGAATGAATATAAATGGTTATGATTTTAATAATGACTTTAAAAAACCAAATCAGTTGCCATTGAATCAATTCCAACTCGTAATGACCCTATAGGACAGAGTAGAACTTCCCCATAGGGTTTCCAAGGAGCTGCTGGTAGTTCGAACTGCTGGCCTTTTGGTTAGCAGCTGTAGCTTTTAATCACTGCACCACCAGGGCTTTGATAATGACTTTAGATCACTGCACCACCAGGGCTTTGATAATGACTTTAGCTCCTTTCATTTACATATATTTGTAATCTAACTCTGTGTGTATGCATGTGGGTGCAAATGCGTGAATGTGAATATATATTCTAATCTCAGTAAAGAAGTATAGAATCACAAACATTTTCTCTTGGACTTATAATCTAACTCCAACAATAATGTCCTGATGGTGTTGTTAAGTAGATGTGAGGTGCCTATTTGTGTTTGTCTCTGAAAACATGAGTGACACATAGAAAGAAATGTGTGAGGGTTTCAGACAGTGAATGATACAGTGCCTGAAATCGATTTGTAAAAGCTAGAGCCTGAATCAGGAAATAAAATCAATTTTTTTGCTTGTTTGTTTTTGTAAATACTCGGTGTTTGGATAAAACATACACTTTTTTTTTTTTTTTAAATAATATCCTCCTCTCCTAATGTAATTGCTTTCTTCCATTGATTTAAATGAAATTGATCGCTGTAATAGCCCATCTACCACATCTCTTCAATATTACCATTGGGGAATTTGACAAAGAAATGGGGTGCTGAGAACCTGAAACAGGATCTTTGACAAAAAAGAATTATCTGTTCCCTTAGCTAAGAACTTTGGGCAGCTGTAGATGCTACAATCTTCTGTGAGGTGATGGACTCACTACCATGCTGGAGAGACCTGGCCTGGACAAGTCTCTTGTGACTTGGTTAAGTTAATGACAGTCCTTCTTGGATGCCAGTCCTGCAAGCTTGAATAGGCCACATGTTAACTGCTCTTCTTCCGGAACCCAACCTCATTCTTACCCTGTTCTGCCTTAGATAACCAGTTCAGGATGTCCATCCTAGAACGACTGGAGCAGATGGAAAGGAGGATGGCTGAGATGACGGGATCCCAGCAGCACAAGCAGGGGGCTGGAGGAGGAGGTAGCAGTGGAGGTGGCAATGGGAGTGGAAATGGAGCAAGTCAAGCTCAGGTAAGAGTCTGCGTTGACAGTCATTTCTCATTGTTGTTGAATTTTTTTGATTCATTGGAGAGGCAGTTGATCATAAGTCCCTTTGCTGCTGCTGTCATTCCTAGATTTAGACAAAAAATCCAAGGCAGTGCTCTATAGTACCTGTGCTTCTAAGTATTATAATCTGTGTATAATATAAAGAAGCCTTGGAATGTGGGCCTTCTCAGTTGTGTACCTTTGTTAATGATGGCTAAGCCTTGAGTAGGAGCCCTGGTGACACAGTGATTAAGCGCTCGCCTGCGAACCGAAAAGAATCGACTTGACAGCAGTGGGTTTGGTTATGGGTGATCCTTGAGTTATTTTTACTGATCTCAGATTTCACGACTGTTAACCTGGCAGCAGGCGTTGAGGACACCCAATTAAAAATAAAAAGTACAGGCTAAATGGCGACTCAGATCTGCTAGGACAAAGAATTAAACTGAATCTTTCTACTTTGTGTATTTTGTCCCTATTTTAAGTATAAATATAAAACAATTCAGTAATTCATAGGCCTTTTAAACTCAAGAAGATCAGTATGAAAGGGGCCCAGAGAAACAGTTTCTGTAATTATTCAGGATAGAATGACAGTGTACATTATATCATCTTTCACGTTTTTCCATAAATTCCACGAAGAATGTATTATATTGATTGCCAAGTACCGGGAAATGACCAAATATTGTTTAGAGTCCCATTAGTTTTGGGGACTTTATGTAAATTTCATCATGGAACTTCATTTTGAGAAAGTCTCTTAGCAGAAATCGCTACTTTTCAAGAGACCCTAGAGATAAAGGAACAGGTAGTGTTTCTTAACTCTGCTAGTGAATCGTTCTAAAAAGCTCAGATAATTCCCCCTCTTTCTTCAGGATAAATGATGATTTCCTTTGAACAATTACATATTTTAAGTGAACATTTTGAGTTTTATGATCCTTGTGAATATCAAGTATTAGTAATATTTTTAATAATAATCATAGGTGAAAACAAAAAATAGTATACCATACCCAAAAATCTAACCTCCTTTTTTCTTGAATTTTCTTCCTCCTTCTCCCCTGTCTTCAGAAATCAGTGGAAAAAGACTTGGCACACAGTAAACTACTATTAAGACTAAGATAGGCTTCTCTTTCACCTGATACTACTAAGTTTTATAGAAGTAGTAATCATTGTATAATATAAAATGGTTATATTAAGAGATTCCCACAACATCCTTTTCCTTTCACCAACAAAGGTGGCATATGGGCAACTGGCCTGTTATAATCTGATCCCATATCAATTGCTGTTGAATACTCTTTCATTAGTATAAATTGGTTTTGGTAAATGGCTATGTCTGCCTTATGTGATAGAGACCATGGCTGTGTTTGCTTAATGCAAATAATGACAAAAAGTTCTTTCTTTGTTCACTACCCTGTGATTTCCATGTACCCGTGAATATGATCTGATTGGCATATGTGGAGTGGTGCTGCCTGAGCCTTAGAGTCAAGGTCAGGTCACTGCATGTTTGCCCAGCTGTGCTCCTTTAAGATGTTTTTACAGCTCTGGTGAGGATGACATGACGTCCATCATCTGCCTTTTATTTTCAGAGGCATATTTTTTAGATTTAAAAATAACGAGCAATTAGGAGCAGCAATATTTCTGTAGTAATTGAATTTTATGAGGCTTATTACCGGAAAAAATACTTCTGCAACAACAGCAGAGATGAGAATTGGGCTAGAAGTGCTATTTATTTGTGGACTATTAAGCATGAAGCTGCTATCACAAAGCCTCAAATAAGCTGTTCAGGTTACCAACTTTGATTTTGTTTTTCTTCCTTTACAGCTGAACCATGGGAAGAAAGCCATATGGTTAAGCTTAATGCATTTCTCTTTCCTATATGCTTTTAGTATTGTTGTTGTTAACTGCCATCAAGTTGGCCCCCAACTCACGGAGACCCCATGCACAATGGAACAAAACACTGCCCAGTTTGGTCCTGCGCCATCCCCATGATTGCTGGGGAACAGACCGTTGTGATCCATGGGTGATATTGTTATTACTAATACTTAAACTTCAAGATCTCTCACACTTTTCCCAGTACTCTTTTGACTTTATACAAAGGACTTGACTGTTATTGGGTTGTTTTAAGTGTGTCTTTACAGGAAAAAAAAAAAAAAATCCACATGTAAGTGACTTAATTCTTCAGAAGAAGCAGGAAGTGGAAGATCCATGTGTTCCCCAAACGGCAGCATTAGGAAAGCTGCTCTGCTTTGCTTTCTCACAGAAGTTTACTACCCACAATGTTTGCTTCACCTAGGAGGCTAGAACCACATCCTTTTATAGCAGCATACACTTTTTCTGAGATGGATCAGCAGTGAGTTCATAATCAGAGTGTCAGCTGTAATAGATAGATGCTGATGTTCTTGGAGTTGTGGAAAATTACCTTGTACCACTACTGCAGATATGTGCTGCTGAGCTAAAACTAGGCACACTCTGTTCTGTTTCATGGTGTTTCTTTATTTTCAGTTTTGTATTTTCCATTTTGAGTTGCTAATCATAAGGCATTTGTTTCTCGTACATCAAAATACTGGCTTGTTGGAGGGCCTTTAAGTCATTCTGTGGTACAAAATGTCAGGTCATAATATGCACTTTTTACTTGTAGTGTGCTTCTGGGACTGGGACTTTGGGGAGCTGCTTTGAGAGCCGCGTGGTTGTTGTATGTGAGAAGATGATGAGCCGAGCCTGCTGGGCAAAATCCAAGCATTTGATCCATTCAAAGACTTTCCGTGGAATGACCCTCTTACACCTGGCTGCTGCCCAGGGTTATGCCACTCTAATCCAGACCCTCATCAAATGGCGGTAAGGCTGTGGTGCAAACGACTCATGATCGTCCTCAACATGCAACTTCTCCTTGGGCATTTCCATGAGTGGAGAGAAATCTCACCAGTCAGTAAGCTTTATAGCCCGGGAGCAAAGGGCTTGCTGTGAGGACAGTTTCCAGGGGATTTTAATGAACTCCCACCCAAGAAATACTGAACTAGATACTAAGAGAAGTTGGGCTTTGAATTTTCTTCAGGCCACTAGCCAGATGTTGGGTCCATCCCTCCCTGTGAAATTCAGGACTGTGTTTCTTCAAATCAGGGATGTTAGATGCCCAGTTTGGTTTCATCTTTGTGGGGTTTCATCACATAATGCTTTGGTATTTCCTTTTAGCATAGAATACGTTGTGCAGTAATTTCTGATGCTCTCCGTTACAGCACAAAGCATGCAGATAGCATTGATTTGGAACTGGAAGTTGACCCCTTGAATGTGGATCACTTCTCCTGTACTCCTCTGGTAAGGCATAGGTTCATTTATTCCCCTAAGGGTCTTTCCAGTTGGGCAGAGGGATATGTTATCCCCTATTGCCATCCCCCATTACCATATGGGGGCCCTGGTGGCGCAGTGGTTAAGTATTTGGTTGCTAACCAAAAGGTCAGCAGTTCGAATCCACCAGCTGCTCCTTGGAAACCCTATGGGGCGGTTCTCCTCTGTCGTATAGGGTCGCTATGAGTCAGAATTGAGTCAACGGCAACAGGTTTGTTTTTTTTATTGCCATATGACACTTATCAGAGTTACTTTGTCAAAACAAAAAATCAAACCCGTTGCTGTCGAGTGGATTCCGACTCATAGTGACCCTACAGGACAGAGTAGAACTGCCCCATAGGGAAAAAAAAAAGATACTTTGTCATGCTAATGTTTTATGACCTCATTGAGGTTGCTACTAGCCAAGACCAGCTTGTCAATTGGCAGCAATGGCAAGAACCAAATATGTTTTTAACCTCTTATTGAAAAGCTTGCTTTGTCTTTCTGTCTCTTAGATGTGGGCATGTGCTCTTGGGCACTTGGAAGCTGCTGTCGTGCTGTATAAGTGGGACCGTCGGGCCATCTCTATTCCTGACTCTCTAGGAAGGCTGCCTTTGGGGATTGCCAGGTCAAGGGGTCATGTGAAATTAGCAGAGTGTCTGGAGCACCTGCAGAGAGATGAGCAGGCTCAGCTGGGACAGAATTCCAGAATCCATTGCCCTCCAAGCGAAGAGCCTAATACAGATAGCTGGATGGCCCAGTGGCACAGTGATGCCATCAGCTCTCCAGAAATTCCCAAAGGAGTCACTGTTATTGCAAGTACCAATCCAGGTAAACATTCAAAATTACTACATTTCAGAACCTAACAGGTGTCCTGTTTGCTTTCACGCAGCTGCTCTGAGAAAAGTCCATAGGATAGTCACCTGCATTTACGTTTGTTTGTTTATTTTTTGCTGCTTCTGATTTTCCTTTTAGCTTCAAGAATGCATAGTGCCCCCAAAATCATACAGAAAGAGGCAAAAAATAAATCTATGTCCATACATAAAATACAATTTTTTGGGAGGAGGATTATCTGAATACAGTATATGCTCCTGGGGAATATTTACATAGTAGGGACGTGTCTTGAGTTCCGGCTTTGCACTTTGTGTCAGGCATAGAGAAAGTGTTAATTCTTTAGGATTCCTAATTTTATCGCCTGTCCTGACTATCCTTTCTACTGTACTTTTCAGAGCTGAGAAGACCTCGGTCTGAACCCTCTAATTACTACAGCAGTGAGAGCCACAAAGATTATCCAGCTCCCAAAAAGCATAAATTGAACCCTGAGTACTTCCAGGCAAGGCAGGAGAAGCTGCTTTCCACTGCACTGAGTCTGGAACAGCCAAATATCAGGAAGCAGAGCCCTAGTTCTAAGCAGTCTGTCCCTGAGACAATCAGCCCCAGTGAAGGAGTGAGGGACTACAGCCGGGAACTCTCCCCTCCCACTCCAGAGACTGCAGGATTCCAAGCCTCTGGATCTCAGCCTGTAGTAAAGTGGAATTCCAAAGATCTTTACATTGGTGTGTCTACAGTACAGGTGACTGGAAATCCGAAGGGGACCAGTGTAGGAAAGGATGCAACACCTTCACAGGTGCGTCCACGGGAACCAATGAGTGTCCTGATGATGGCTAACAGAGAGGTGGTGAATACAGAGATGGGGTCCTACCATGATAGTGCAGAAAACGAAGAATGCTCACAACCCATGGATGATATACAGGTAAGACTGCAGAGGCTGGTGCGACATAGCTTCCTTGAGCTTTACGGTCAATTTCAACGGTCATTAATCCTCTCACCAGTGAAGAGTTAGAAGCCTGGCCTTATGTATAAGAATGTTGGAGTGTCTTCTCTACTTGGGACTGCATTTTCACTCATTGAATCAAGCACTGGGAATAGAGCTTAAATACCAGGGCCCAGGTGTCATCAAAGCCTTCTCTCTCTGTACCAGCTTCCTCTCTCCTTGCATCCAGAGTGACTGATTTCACTGTTTTAATGATTAATTGTTCTAGAGTTAAGGCCCTGAGATGAGCTAGAACAGGAAGCCTATAGATATAATTTTAATCTAAGTGACTTTGGTTGGCATAGCCATCATGTAGTCATCGTAAAGGGCACATCTGGGGTCAGGTTCTCATAAGATAACAGTAAAATGTTCCTAAAGCTGATAATTGACTGCCCTTATATTAAATCTCGGCGCCCAGGTGACGCGGTGGTTAAGAGCTCGGCTGCTAACCAAAAGTTTGGCAGTTCGAATCCACCAGCCACTCCTTGGAAACTGTATAAGGGCAGTTCTACTCTGTCCTATAGGTCTCTATGAGTTGGCATCGACTAGACAGCAATGAGTTTTTTTCTTTTTTTTTTTTTTTTGTGGGGGTAGCAGTGGGGCGGTTTATATTAAATGTAGAAAATCCAGAATCCTTTTAGGGCATTAAACTTGTCTAGATCAAGAGACTATGTATGAAGTAAACCTGAGTTTGGGCTATTAAGTGAGTGAATTCCATTAATTAAAATATACTGTATAGGGTGAGACCAGAAGTACAACCTAAGAACATGGGTTTGACTCCTTCTCTTTTCAACTTCCCATTGATATAACCCAAAACAAATATAAAAGGAACAACTTCACCCCCACTGGGAATTCAGCAGGGTACCTGTGCTTATAGAAATGATGCTGGGAGAGGGAGGGGCATGGAGAAGAGTGCCAAGTCACCTGCACCACCAAACCCTACAGCTTGGAAGAAGCCTGCTTGCCAGCTCAGCTCTTTCCCCACCACCACAGGGAATGTACTCACTCTCTCATCCTGCCAAATTGACCCTCACTTGCTTAGCCAGAGTAGGGGAAGGGGGAGTAAGAGATCTCATATAGTGGCCAGCATACCTAGGGAGAGGTCTGATTGTTGAACTACTGCTGTTCATTGCATGCCAGGGGACTCTTCCTGCCAGCCCTCTGCTGTTTACCACAGGATGAGAATCATGACTACTCAGTCTGCCATTATAGTCCAGAAGAAGCCTTAGACAATATTAAACAAATGAGTGTGGCTTTGTGCCAGTAAAACTTTACAGGTAGTCCTCGACTTACGACGGGGCTCTGTTCCGATGACTCCGGCATAAGTCGGTTCTGACATAAATATCTTAAATTTTTTTTTAAATTTTTATTATTATTGCCTTTTATTATCAGTATCTTTATAAACCCGATCTTTGTCTTTAGGGGTTGGCGTGAGCATGATAACATCAGCAAGTTACGCGCTGCAACATTGTATGTAGTACGTATTACTAATGATAAGATGTGGGGAAAAAAAAACCGGATGGTTGTAAGTGCGGTTCGTTGTAACTGGAATTCATTGTAAGTCAGGGACTACCTGTATTTACGAAAACAGCTGGCTGGATTCGGCCTAATAATGGTTTGCCAAACCCTGTTTTTGACGATTCCTGATGGAACCTATACCAGATATCAATACTTAGCAATCTAGAACCATATTTATAAATATAAACCACCAAAAACCAAACTTCGTGCTGTTGAGTCGATTCTGACTCATAGCGACCCTATAAGACAGAGTAGAACCAGCCCTATAGGGTTTCCAAGGAGCAGGTGGTGGATTCGAACTGCTGAACTTTTGGTTAGCAGCCATAGTTCTTAACCACTATGCCACCAGGGCTCCATAAATATAAACATGTAATAATAAATCACCAAACCATGATGAAAATCTACGACTCAAAGGAGGGTTACGTGTTCCCTTAGCTGCATGTTGTTGTTAGGTGCTGTCAAATTGATTCATAGCAACCCCATGCACAACAGAACAAAATATCGCCCCATCCTGCACCATCCCCACAGTTGTTGCTGTGTTTGAGCCCATTGTTGTAGCCACTGTGTCAGTCCATCTCATTAAGAGTTTTCCTCTTTTTTACTGACCCTGTACTTTACCACATACGATATCCTTCTCCAGGGACTGGTCCCTCCTGATAGCATGTCCAAAGTATGTAAGACGAAGTCTCACCATCCTCCCTTCTAAGGAGCATTGTGGCTGTACTTCCAAAACAGATTTGTTCGTTCTTCTGGTAGTCCATGGTACATTCAGTATTCTTCAACAACACCATAATTCAAAGGCGTCAATTCTTCTTTGGTCTTTCTTATTCACTGTCCAGCATTTGCGTGCATATGAGGGGATTGAAAATACAGTGGCTTGGGTCAGGCATAACTTAGTCTTGAAAGTGACCTCTTTGCTTTTAAACACTTGAAAGAGGTCTTTGCAGCAGATTTGCCCAGTGCAGTACGTCATTTGATTTCTTGACTGCTGCTTCCATGGGGGTGGGAAATCAAGAAGAGTATTATCATGAATGGCTTAGTTCAATCATGATTTCTCCCCTGGGGTTCAGCACATTGCTGCTCCCTGCAAAAATGGAGTTCTCTAGGCAAGGTAAAAGGGGGGACTTCCTGTTGGTTAGGCCACTAATAGTGTCACCACATTAATATTACAACTTACTATAGAACTGCCTGATCTTAATATCATTAATTGGTTGATCCTAGCTGAGAGTAGAGACTGGGCACAAGCCAGAAGTTGTTCAAGACTTGAGTAAAGGATATGGAGATATCAGGTCTGAGGAGCTCTGCATTTTCAGGTGGATTATGTAATAACCTTAAAATGATGTTTTAGTAAATTGGATTGAGATGTAGGGGCGTGGAGAGAGGACTGGATAACTTCTAAGGTTCCTTTCCAACCTAAGTGTTCTGATTCCAGGTGAACATGATGACCTTGGCAGAACACATTATTGAAGCCACACCTGACCGAATTAAGCAGGAGAATTTTGTGCCCATGGAGTCCTCAGTGTTGGAAAGAACAGATACTGCTGCTATTAGCAGTACAATGAGCTGGCTGGCCAGTTACCTAGCTGATGTCGATCATCTGCCAAATGCTGCCCAGATCAGGTCAGTAAAATTCCATGGGTCACAACCTAGGATAGATTCCCAGGTTTCACTGGAGTAATGGGAGACTACTTATATTTGATGAATGTTATATGACATGAGACCTTAAATTAAGGAAGGAAAAGATAGCATTAGGACTTGTCCCTTTCCACTTTTGAAGCTCAGCTCATGTCCTTACCTCGTCAATGATTTTTCTCCCCATATCAAAGCACGTAAGATAATGTATCATAGTTCTGTTTTTTTCCCCCAATTCAACTGAAATTTCATGAGGGCAGGACAGTGTACTTAGTGGGTTTAGTATTTAATAAATACTAAATAGTAATAAACTCATAATGGAGTCCCTGGGTGGTGCAAATGGTTAATGTGTTCAGCTTCTAACTGAATGGTTGGAAGGTCAAGTCCATCCAGAGGCATGTTGGAAGAAAGGCCTGGTGATCTACTTCCAAAAAATCAGTCATTGAAAACCCTATGGAGTGCAGTTCTACTCTGACACACGGGTTGCCATGAGTTGGAGTAGATTGGTTTTAAACTCATCATAGGTAAGCACTTACTATTAACTGACTTAATTGAAGGATGGTTAAAGTACTGAGCATGTTTAGCAACTTACCTGACTGAATGAAGGCATATTCTTAATAGTCCACAGTGGCTTCTGGTGGATACCATCTTGTTTTTAGGTAATAATTAGGGAATTGTACAAGTCAGTCATTAATCACTTCTGTTTCTCGTCTTGTTTCAGAAGTGCATATAACGAGCCTCTAACCCCTTCTTCTAATACCAGCTTGAGCCCTGTAGGCTCTCCCATCAGTGAAATAGCTTTCGAGAAACCTAGCCTTCCCTCAGCAGCAGACTGGTCTGAATTCCTGAGTGCATCTACCAGTGAGAAGGTAGAGAATGAGTTTGCTCAGCTAACTCTGTCTGATCATGAACAGAGAGAACTCTATGAAGCTGCCAGGCTTGTCCAGACAGCTTTCCGGAAATACAAGGTAAAAGAGAGTCTTGATGTTGTGTGACATTTTTAAGATCAGGGATGATGGATGAAGTCAAAATCATCCAAACTAGAACATGTAGCGTTTCTTTTTCTCTTTTTTCCTCTGAGTTTATAGGACTTTTAGTTCTATTACATTAATAATTAATAATTTCAGAAGCTTTAGTAAAATAAAACTAACCAGTAGTGTGATGGTTACCACCGTCTGAGCTTACTTACTGTTGGTAATGGTAATGGGTATTTAGTTAATGTAAAGTAAGTTGATACTTCTGTCACAGTAAATTTCTGACCTAAAGTAGGAGTTTCTAATGGGAGGCCTGTGGACAGAGTTCAGGCAGCCCACGAACTTCTAAAATTACATGGTAAAGCTTCTGTATATGCAGTTTTGGTGGGGAGAGGGTTGATTGCCTTCTTCAGATTCTCAAAGGGGTGTTTGACCTCCCAAAAAGCCATTAGTCATTGATCCTAAAGTGGAGTAGCCGTGGTTGTCTTAAGAAAGACAATTGAGATCTGGCAATTTATAAGGACAAATAATACAATACCTATTTGTTAAATACTTTTAAAATGAGTATTTTTAGCCCTCCTCCCACTCAAGTATCATGGTTTTATTTAGAAGGAAGACTAGTTGAAGGTTTAGCCTATAAATTCATTTTTCCTAATTTATATTTACAACTAATTATTACAGTATTTTGGTAAACTGGGCTCTTAGTTCTGAGACAGTTGAAATCAATGAGTAATGACTTATGTAAGTTTTAAGAAAGTTGACATTTCTTATATTAAAATCATTGCCGCTTTTGTCCGTCTCACTTCACCCTTCAGGGCCGACCCTTGAGGGAACAGCAAGAAGTAGCTGCTGCTGTCATTCAGCGTTGTTATAGGAAATACAAACAGGTAAAGCACAGTTTTGTGTCACACTAGGAGACTGCTCTGCCAAGACCACACCAGACCACTAGGATTCTGGTGTGTAGTTTGGCAAGAGAGCACTACATCCAGTACTTAATTACCAAGAGTAAATTTGAATTGCCTTGATTAAAAGCCAGAGGAAGATGTTCCAGAGAAATCCAAACGAACCATCTTCAACTAAACGGATGCCACAAAATAATTTTTGTTCAAATGTTTGGCTTTTTAGTTATTATCACCTCCCCGAGATATAGTCTGATACAAAGAAAAGTGTGTTTGAAGTGAGGATCTGTGTTCTAGTATTTTTACCTACAGAACTCTAGGGAATTTGATAGAGTGATTGGAGATGGTAAATACTGGCTATTCCCTTTAACATTGAACTTTATGATCTTTGGCCATTTTTTCTTTTCAGCATCTACTTAACCCATTTTTAAATGAAGGCTTATAAAAATCTTTGAAAATCTTAAGCTTAGAACATGTTAAACAACTTTTGTATTCCTTAGTTAAAAGTTGTAAGACTATCTGAGTACTCTGTCATGCAGAATGATTATTTTCCAAAATAACCTGTAGGGTTACATAATTACCATTAAAAAAGGAAAAAAAAAGAACTAATGTTTGTTGAATCTTTAGTGTTACTAGAGCTTGTAGGTACAACATCTCATTTACTCTTTACAATTATTTGAAGTAAATAGTTTTATTTCCAATTTATAGATGAAGAAGCTGAGGCTCAGAGAAATTAACTAAATTTCGTTGAGGTGGTTATAAAATGTAAAAAATAGCCGAACTGAGTTTTTTAAAATTATTATTGTGGTGAAAATACACACACCAAACGTTCACCAATTCAGCAGTTTCTACATGTGAAATTCACTGACATTGATTACATTCTTCATGTTGTACAATTATCATTATCCTTTTCCAAGTTATTCCACCACCGTTAACATAAACTCACTGCCCAGTAAGCAAACCAAAACCAAAACTAAAACCAAAAAAACTAAACCAGTTGCCATTAAGTTAATTCTGACTTATGGCAACCCCATGTGTGCACTATAGAACTGCACTCTATAGAGTTTTCAAGACGATGACATTTTGGAAGTAGGTCTCCAGGCCTTTCTTCCCTAGGTGCATCCTGGTGGGTTTGAACTGCCAACCTTTCAATCAGTAGTTGAGCACTTAACCTATTGCACCACCCAAGAATTCCTCTCATAAGCAGAAACTCCCCTAATTGAGTTTTGACTTGTTCATGTGATAAAGTTCAGTATTGCCAGTAGATTATAATACCTTTTACTGAGTTGTGCGTTGCATAGATTTTAATTTTTATTTAAGGAAGAATAAATGCTAAGATGTGTAATAAAAAACCAGTTGCCGTCAAGTCAATTCCGACTCATGGTGACCCGTGTGTGTCAGAGTAGAACTGTGCTCCATTGGGTTTTTAATAGCTGATTTTTTTTGGAAGTAGATCGCCAGGCCTTTCTTCCAAGGCACCTCTTGGTGGACTCGAAGTGCCAACCTTTTGGTTAGCAGTCAGGCACCTAACCATTTATGCCACATGGAAATATGGGATTGTGTTCTCTTGTTATGATCTATGTCTTGCTTTGTTCTATGGTATGGGTTGCCATTTTCTCCAGTTTCTCTAGGATTAAGTCCTGTTAATGAGGGAGAAACCTCAAGCTTATAGCCAATTGAGTTCATGATCCCAGAGAATGAAGGTTTATTGTGTGAACGCTGACACCACAGTACTATAGCTCTATAACAGGGAGCTGTACTGGTTTCTGTTTGATAAGCAGGCTTCACATTAGTGATATGCAGCATTGAAGTTTGAAGTATGACTGCAACAGGTATTTATTCCAAAATATGAGGGGGTCTTTTTTTTTTTTTTTTTTTTTTCCGTTAACGCCCCTCCCAAAGAAGTGTCATCTACAGCTAGGAAGATGGGAGATATTATTTTTTAGAGAAGTTAATATAGCCAGGTTGCCTTTTTCTTTTGGTTGGGAGTTTTATTGGTTCTGGTTTTTAATTTCATTCTATTCAGCAATCTAACATTAATCTTGTATTTTCTGTTTCTCCCCCAAGCTGACATGGATAGCCTTGAAGGTAATGATAAACCCAAGTCCTCTCACAAACCATTCCACCAGAGTCACAGACTTCACACCCATTACCAACCCAGAGAAGAGCCGTTAAGATGGCACATTCATGAAATAGACATACTGAAACTCAGTGTACCTATTCTCTGGGGGCCAAGTAGTTAGTCATTTGGAGTGTGTTTTGTCCTTAATAATACTTGGACATTTGCTTGGCTAGTGGCAATCTAAAGAATCCATCCTGTTAGCCTGTTCCTGTGGGCCCAGTGTGTCACACAGTAAATTGACCTTTTTAGCTATGTGTTCACTGTGGTCCAGCAGATTCTGAGTATGCAGTGTATAGAGGCCAAGATGATGAAAATCACAGAGGCCCTGAAGGATACAGGACTTTTGTATAAATGAAAATGAAGAGTGGGTCAGATAAGACTAAAGCAGATCCTCTCAGAATTGTCCTGTTTCTTGGACATTCTGAGAAGTCATTGTCCTTCCCTCATTCTGCCACCTCATACATCGAGACACACCCTTGGCACAGGCATTTTCTGAGAATGCTTTTCCCTACAATGGTAAGTTGCCTTCTTGTAGGAAAAGGACTTCGCTGTTACTTCTTGCCCCTAGAGTCATATTCTATTTCATAGAAATTTGGACATAGCATTTTTAAAATATAGAGAGCTCTGTATTTTTAGTGCCTGGAGACTGGTATTGAAGAGAACTCATTCTCCCGCTCCCTCATCCCCCGCTTTTATAGCTCTGCGGCAGGCTGGGTGGAGGGCTGCTGGTATTAGCTCCTGAGCAGTCCTCAGCTCTGTGACAACCTGTCGGGCTTCGTTGCTTCACCGCTGTGTTGGTCTTACAAGTGTTCATCTCTCGCAGGTTAAAATAGCTTTAAGGTGTCAGCGTTTCATGATAAGCCTTGTATTTGGGACCCTGTAACTCAGTCAGAAATTTGTGATATGGAGTGATAGAAATCAGATGCTGACTGCTAAGTAGAATTTATATATGATGGGAGTTGGGAGGCATAAAAAAGGTTCATTAAAATTATTTCAAAATTGGTAAATATTAATCTTAAACATTTAAAATTTTACTTCCTAAATATGACTTTAAGATTTGTAAATATCTAAGCTTATTATTTTTTGAAATTATTTTTGCAAGGAGGGCAATTACAGCAAAATATTTTGATATTTGGGGAAAAGGTACATTTAAAACAATGCATTGTCTGAGGGCGACCCTTAAAGTATTATTTTGCATTTTGGAAAGGTAGGTGAAAAGATTCCTAGTTTGTCTCTTAGTGATGTAAACCCCAAATAGAGAATATGATAATAAAGGGGAAAAAGTAGTCACTCTTCCTTGTCAATAATCTCAAAGGACACACAAACTTGTGTGGCTCCTGTTGTTACTTTTCTGCTTATTCTTGTTTCCCCTGCAGTACGCACTTTATAAAAAGATGACACAGGCTGCCATCCTTATCCAGAGCAAATTCCGAAGTTACTATGAACAAAAAAAGTTCCAGCAGAGCCGACGTGCTGCTGTGCTGATCCAGAAGTATTACCGGAGCTATAAGAAGTGTGGCAAAAGACGGCAGGCTCGCCGGACAGCTGTAATTGTACAACAGAAACTCAGGTGGGTTGAGAAGGTTTCATGGAGGTAAAGCCATCTAGGGAAAAGAACTCTGATTTAGCTGAAAAAATTGTCCTGTGCTTCCAGCTGGCATTAGGGTCTTTTCAGATCATTCTAGGTATTGTGACTTTGTATAGTTATGCCTGTCTACCAGTCTGTTTTTGTCTGTTTAGCTCCTCCCTGTATCACCCCATCCCCACAATTATTTTGGTGTCTCCACCCAATTTCAACTTATACCAGAATTTGGCAGGACCAAAAAGGGTGACCCTGTCTAAATTACAGAGTTATCACATCTAAGACCTCAGTAGAATAATTTAAAAAAAAACAAAAACCCATTGTCATCCAGTCGATTCCAACTCAGTAGAACTTCCCCGTAGGGTTACCAAGGCTGTAAATCTTTATGGAAGCAGACTGCCACATCTTTCTCCCACGGAGCAGCTGGTGGGTTCGAACCTGTGACCCTTCGGTTAGCAGCTGAGTGCTTAACCACTGTGCCACCAGGGCTTCTGAAAGAGTGATCAGGGTGAAGCTGTTGCTTTTTAGAGAGCATAATGAGAGCTTTTAGTCAAGTAAAAGACATTGATAAAATAAATTTACAAAATAACACCCCCAAAGAGAGTATCAAACTCAGGAGAAACGATTTCAAAGCTAAGAAAACCTGCCTAATGCCTTTTTCAACGAAATGAGCTTATAAGGAGTCATGAAGGGACATTGAAGTGACATCTTATTTTCAGTCTTTATATTGTCTCCCACGGAACTAGGTAAAAGCGCTTACACGCTCCCTCCTTCCTTCTCTCCCAGAGAGGCCTCAACGCAGTCCTAGAAAAGCAGCCTGTGCTTGCGCTGTCGGATTTGCCCAGTGAACTGTTGCATTAAGAGGCCTCTCACCGCTGACCTGTTTTCATCTTGTGCATATTAGGCTTCACGGAACCCTTCTTGTGACAATAATCCTCTGACTTTTTCAGGAGCAGTTTGCTAACCAAAAAGCAGGACCAAGCTGCTCGAAAAATAATGAGGTTTCTACGCCGCTGCCGCCACAGGTACATTCATCCTCATCTGTACATTTTGCTCATCAAGAATGACAAAACAGTGCTAATCTTCTTAACCAGTCATTAACATCCATGTAAAGCTAATCCCCCCAGCAAATAACCAGGGTAAACGTCCCAGATTACAATAGGGTAATAGCACTCTTTAAGTAGGGACTAAATTGCTGCTATTGTAACTATGGTAACTGTTTCAGACTGTGCTATCTGTGTTGAACAGTGGAGATTCCTGCCAGTGTTTTTCTGTTTTCATTTGGCTGTATGCACAACTTAGGTGGACTAGCTTTTCATTCCAAGTTTCTCTTTCGTTTATGGTTGATATGCCATATTGTAGTATGGTCTTCACCCTGAGCCCTACTGTGCTGATATGTATCCAAACAGAGAAATAAACAGAGTTTCTATTCTGAAGGGAAGGAAAGAAAACCATGGAAGCCGACTTCTATCCAGGTTTTCCGATGTAGAATTTCCACTTGAATAGCTGGTGCCCTCTGCTGGTTATATAATAACTAGCATGCTCGGTTATTAACTAAAGCTAGTCTGTGATGAGGGACAGGAGAAGATAATTACTGAAATAAAATTATGCAGGCAAGGAAGGACGTCTGAGGTCATAGGGAATTTTCAGTGAGAAGAAGATGGGCTCCTGGAACTCAAGCATTCCACAGAGATACAACATTTTCTCATGGAGTTAAGCTGGAGTAGTGTCTCCTTATTTCCTCCAGTCTGGAGCTTTCTTTAAGGAGACTAGGTTCTTAGATTTTGGGGGACCTGGTGAGAAGTGTTTTGTTTTCTTTATGTAGGTTAATATTCCAGTCTGACATCTGTGACAGTGGCCATCTGCACTGTGTTTATATGACCTTCCTTGTGGTTTGGTGATTTCACAGCATCAGGAGCTGTGCAGTCTGTAGAACCAAACTTTGCGGCAGGCTCTTTAATGTCGTATTTTCTCCTCCTAGTTAACTGTACCCAAAGCCCTAATGTTCACATTCAGTTTCATTCCTCAGAGGTTTTGTTTTGCTTTAGTTTTTCTTACTCCTAAAACTGTCTCGTTGCTAACTTTGAAAATATTTTGCCTTTGAGACTTAATAGGGTTTAACTGCTTACTTTTGTCTCTGCTTAAATCCACAAAAGAATTTATTTATATGACTGTAGAAAGAAACATGCACAGCCACTGCAATAACAATTATGAAAACTTTAAGAAAAGCATTCCTTTAGGATAGAACTGGCGTTCTCCAGCTGGAATGCTGAGAAACAACCTCAGGGACACTGACCATATGCCTCAGCAGCCCATTTGCTCTCTACTATGTGGTGATTGGGGGACTTTCCCCCCATAATTACTAACAAATGAGACACCATTACCAGTACTTTAAAATAGGAAGTCCTGTTAGGAAATGCATATCAAAACATGGGGTGTGGTGATGAGGTAGTACAATTAATTCTATAAGGTCTACCAGAAGTCAGTCTTATTTCTTTATCATTCAGTCATACCTTTTACCTAGCATTAGCTTAACTACGGAGCCCTGGTGGCACAGTGGCTAAGCGTTCTGCTGATAACCAAAAAGTCAGCAGTTCAAATCCACCAGCTGCTCCTTGGAAACCCTATGGGGCAGTTCTACTCTGTCCTATAGGGTCACTATGAGTTGGAATCGACTTGCTGGCAACAGGTTTTTTGGTTTTAGTGTACTTATAGCCAAAGAGTAGCTGATTTTCTCTATTTGGTGGAAATCCCAAGGGCTTACATAGGCTCTTACCCTTAAGTTCGTATGTATGCTTAGGCTCCTTTTTTCCCTTTGCTTCTTACCTGTACAATGAGAAGATTCTTCAGCGCTGGAACCATGTAGACTCGGACTCCTTTCAGGAGAAGCACATGGGCACCTCTTCTTTCATGAGACTGTGGTTAATTTTCCAGACAGATTTTATTTTTAAAAATATTACATTAACGTGGTTCTTTAGGGCACTTCAAACAAACTAGAGTGTTTACACGTTAAATTCTACTATACTTTTTTTCCTGATTTCTTCTAGTCTTATCATCAAAATCTGACATATACAAAGTCTCACATGCTATACATATGTGTAGCAATGATTTTGAGCAAAATGGCGTGAATTCCCACACTCACTTTCTTTTTTTGCCAAAGCAGTGCCTTGAGTTTACACTGGGTGAGTTGAGAGGGTAAGATACTTAAACAAAATAAAGGCATAAAAGGCTGCCTCCCAAAGTAAGCTGAACAAAGAAATCTTTTTACTCTTGTTTTAGAGTTACTTTTATAAACCACTTAGGAGCCCTGGTGGTGCAGTGATTAAGTGCTTGGCTGCTAACCGAAAGGTTGGTGGTTCGAACCCACCAGCTGCTCTGCAGTAGAAAGATACGGCAGCCTGCTTCCATAAAGATTATAGCCTTGAAAACCCTATGGGGCAGTTTTGCTCTGTCCTGTAGGGTCACTGTGAGACTCAACGGCAGTGTGTTTGGTTTTGGGGTTTCTTTTTTTTTGTAAACCCAATAGAGAAGAATTTCATGAAGATTTTTCCTTTCTTGGGTTCATATTTTAACTAGGAAAAACCTCATAAGAATGCTAACAAGAAGATTTGAAGAGAACATCAGATTATGGGCTCTGAATTTCTGTTCATTATTTGGAATGAAATAAAGACTACTGTCGGCACTTTACTTGCCTTTTATAGTTCAGAGGTAGAAAAATGTGTAGGCAAATTTTAATAACCTTTGCATACTGAAGGTATAAGTATTCATTTCCCATCCTATATATTCAATTTAGGAATTTGAAGAAGTCCTGAAAATCTATCCAAATCTTTTCCCAAAAGTTTGTTTTAAAATCATATTTTCCCTAGGATATATGTAACCCTGTTTCCAGTCTGTATTATTTAATATTAAGAAAAAAGTGTCATGTTTACTGTCTCTTAGAGGCATTAAAATCTATATTAAAAGAGAAAAGCTCATATGACACCCCCTCAAAAGGTAGGTAGGTAGTGGCTTCAATAATCTATAAGAAATGTCCCATTTCTTCAGGATTTTGCTAAGTTATATGACCCCTACATTTTTATACTTAAAAATAAGTTGATGAATTTTCTACCTGCTCATTTCACACACCCCACCACCACTCTTTTCTTCCATCCCCCCAAAAACAAGGAGCCACTTGATATTCTTTTTTGTTAAAATAAAGCTATTGATAAGGTTGTGTTGTGACACTCATATGTTAATAGCTTTTTGGTATTGTTTTACTGTCTGAAGCCCCCTGGTGGACCATAGGCTGTACAAAAGGGTGAGTTTAGCTGCCTGCTAGCCAGTTTATCTTCCATTTTCGATATTTTGCTTTTTGCTTGCTTGCATGGGGCTGCAGCCTAGGTATGCCAGTAAGTTTCACATCCATTTTGAATGAAATAAGATAAAAAAAACTAACCCTAATTACTAACACTGCTGTTTTATACGACAGGAGAACAGTCTCATACAGTAGATGTACAAATGCATGAGTAAGTAAAAGGGAGGCACCTTCTGAGGCCACCGCAGCAGGGCATGCATAGAACTTGGTGGAAACTTCTTCAGTATACAAAAGTGTCTGGTGGTACGAGTTTAAAATCTAAATAAGGCTGCTCTGTAAGAAAATATTAAGCAAGTGGTTATTTGTGATTTAAAAAAACTGCCACATGAAATTTTCTCAACTACTGTTTTGTCAAAATTTCTAAAGCAGGAAAGCTCACTAGGTGGGACTAGGCCTTTTTTTTTTTTTCTTTTTAACTAATCTATTTCTTGTTCAGAATTACTGTTTCCCCATTACCCTGTTCCTATAGTTTGGTTTTCTAAATCTCTCTTTCCCTGATGCTATGAGGTAAGTTAATACACAAAGCTGCCCTTTCTGAGCCAACCCAGGACACTTACTATAAAATAGTGAGTGAACCACACTTCCAGCATTTAATGGTAATGCTGAAGAAAGAAACTGTAAAGTATCTAAAATATGTATCTTCTATACTGTAGTTAAGAGAGGATATTCCAATAGAATTTGTATTATAAATAAATTATAATGAATAGGTATTCAACAGAGTATTAGTGTTCCCGAGATCTTAGAAAATGATGCTGATTTGTAAGTTTGCATAAGAGGCAAAAGTCTGCCAGACATGACTATAACACATCCGAAGTTATAATAAAAGATTGAGTGTCAGAAAATCTTTTTTTTTAAGCCAGGAATAGAATTCACCAAAATCAGACCTGAATTTAGATTAATTTGACAACTTTTTTCCTATACATAGTCTAAGAAGGAGATGAATTTCAAATCTAACATCGGAGTTCTCAGTATCAATGATATTCAACACCCTCCCCACCTTTTAACCTACACTAATACTTTTATCTAATCATTTTCAGATTTCTGAGAAAAGATTATAATTCAAAAAATCTTAACATTTTTTATTTTTATGGGGCTATTCATTATTTATATCCCATCTAACTGCATTTATGTTGATGCTAATATTTATTCATTATATTTTAAGCCAAGGGTTGGCAAACCTTTTCTTAAAAAGCCAGTTAGTACATATTTTTGTCTTTGTAGGCCATACAATCTCTATCACAACTACTGAGTTCTGCTGTTGTAGCATGAAAGCAGCCATAGATAATACGTAATTGAATGGTCATGGCTGTGTTCTAATAAAACTTTATTTACACAAAAAGCTTTGGGCCAGATTTGGCCTACAGGCTATAGTTTGCTGACAAAGATAATAGGAGAATGGAGTTTTTATAAGTTCATGCTAAATAAAGATCTTATTTAAATGAAGTTTTCAAAATAAATTTACTCAGATCTTTAGGTTATTTAAACTGTCAAGGTGAAATCTGTTTCAGGGGAAGAGATTAAAATGCTAATACATAGATTTTTCTTTGATAAATGAATCACAAATATTAGCTTTTACATGCTACAGGGGATTTAGAACTGACCAGCAGTTATCTGTATTTCTACTGTTCTCTGCCTAAAAGATTTAAAGTCACATCTGTTCGAAGCCACAAGTAGTTGCTGAAGAAGAAATTTGTTCTGGAGGGGGGAAAAAAAGGCAGTTACATTCATGTTTGTAAATTTGACTAGTTAATCATCTTTAGAATTAGACAGTTGTTTGCAATTGGATTATTTTAGGTTTCTCATGCTAGAGCTGGCTTAGATGTCTGTTTGAAATATAAGAAGGCAAAAATCACCATTTCTCACCCCTTCTGTTCCCTCTCACTCTCTGCGTACTTAGACACCATTTCTTTCCATTAAAAAAAAACCTCCAAGAGAACAAATGCATGCCCATTCAACTTAACTAAAAGTCGTAGTATCTTGCATGTTATATGCAATTAATATAGCCTGCTGCAAGGGACCAACATTTTAGTAAAAATGGTTGCTTATGCACTTCTGAAGTTTGTTAGTTTATGGTATATTAATGATCATTTTTAAGAATACATTTTCTAAAGGTGCTTTTCAATGCCAGCCAGACTCCCTACCTTAATTTCTTTAGTGCCTGCTGCATTTTGTTGTGAAATCCTAAATCACCTACTCATGCATGGAAAGTTGGAATTCCATAACATCCCTTATGCCTCGCAGTCTTTAGGGAGTATGAGAGATAGTCACTGAGCAGCTTTCAGGTTCCTTCTAGTGTGGTCATAATCTAACTGTATGACATAAGGAATAGCTTCTATACATGGCCTTGTCTAATTGCCATTAAGCTCCCCTCTCCTCACTGTTCCATCAGAGAAGTTACAGCAGCTTTCCCTCTACTAGTCCCCAAATTAACATTACTCTTGGGAGGCAGAACATTCTCTGAGGAGGATTTATATTCCTGGAATTTATATCAAGGAAGACAGTAGCTATACTTATTAATTTATAAAGTATCCATATTTAAGACATTTAAGGTTTATACATTGAAAAATAAAATTTGAGTACTTGCATTCAGTTTCATGGTGTACAGTGTTTGTAAAACACTATTATTGACCAAAAGTCCTAGGTTAGTGAAACAGAAGAACATCTAAAAAGATGTCATCAGCAGAATTAAAACACAACAGGCTAATCCCAGTAGCTTAGCAACCAGAAAATAGCATTTGTATCTTGAAATTTTTAGTCTTTGGTTGGGGAAGATTAAGAAAAAGCACCACATGTTCTTCATTGATCCAGCTAATTTTCACTCAGCCTTTCTTTCTAGGCTTAGCCCCTAGATTTATCCAGTAACCTAATATGGAGTTACCCAGTCTTGATGCTGTCATCAGGATTTGTTTTGCCTTGGGCACAATAATTGTCTACTTAAGAGAGAATGTCCCTTTTAAACAGAGATACTTAATTCTACCACTATAATTATTTATTTTAATTAATTTTGGTGAATATTATACTAATTTCAGCAAATGACTGAGGATGATTTTAAGGTTGAAGAAACATTTAGTTAAAGCATACATGCTGAAAATGATACTACTTTCCAGTTGGATTGAATATATGTAACGGTATTATTTAATCTTAGAGCAGAAAAACCCAGTATACCTCTGTGTAAAGGAAATAGTAAATAATTTGAATTGTATCAATACCTCTCTTTTTTGAGATAAAAAATGTTTTTTCACCTCTCCCTTTAAGACATTTATTTTTTATGGATACTAGGAAGTGTGTTTAGAGATCAGAGACCACTCTATGAAAAGCAACCCCTAGACGATTTCTTCTTTCCCTTGATGACAATGTGATTCTGTGATGGGGCTTTATAAACTATTAATAGTCACTATAGATATTATTAGCAGTGGGAATTCCGGTATTTAAATAACATATTTCTTGTAAATTGCTGGCCTAGTTACTTGTGTTCAATAAAGGTAGGTGCAGCTATTCTGCGGGAATAAAAGAACCTTAAGTGGAGGAAGAAGAAAGAGCACTTTTGGGTCACAAGTTTAAAAACAAAATATTTTCTCTATTTGACAACTGGGTTTCCAAACACTTTGCCTGAAGCTGCCAGTCATTTTGGTAAGTAGTGATTCCAGCACTGACGATTGAGGGCAGCACTGTGAAACATCTCAGTGGGGTCATTGCCGAGCTCTGGAAGGTTACTCTTCTAAAACTTTTTACTTTGTTATACACTGTTATTCAAGGGACAATTCTCTGACAATGCCTGGAAGTGTACTGTTTAATTGACAAGAGTAAACAGTGCTCCAGGTCAATGACTGTGATGTCACACTTGTTTAAATTTGACATGAAGTATAGTTTCCAGGTTGCCCCGTGAGGAGTAAGAAATGGAGGTGGGATGTGTCATCATCGATGTGTTTTAAAATCTCCAAAGTAATTTTGTCTCACTTGCCTCTTTTAGGAAATGGATATTTTTGGAACACAGTGGTGTGTGTTAAGTTGCAGACAACAGGCTCTCTGTCATTCTTATTGGGCCTCTCTGTCTTTTTTGTTTTGCAATCCAAATGAGATTTCTGGAAAATGGCAAGATCTCTCTTTGCCTAAATTCCCCACAAGCTATTGCAGCTTTCAGAGCAACAGGTAACTAATCAGAAAGCCTTATCTGGCTGCCCTGTATATTTCTGACGTCCAGCATTGCGGAATATGCCTGCTGAAATCCACTGACTCATGATACATTTCTCTGGCTGAGTAGATGTAATGAAGCAGCTTTGCCTTATGCTTTACCCATGGAGCCATTGTTTGCTACAAGTCTCTGAAGCAGGCCTACTTCATTTATTCATTAAGATGCCATTGGACGTCTGACAGAAATAAACGCTGTGGGCTTTTGCTGGCTTTCAGTGCTGTTGCTTACTACATCACTTCAGTACATTACGATGCAACACTTTTTTTTTTTTTTTGGTTGAGGCTGCAACAGTATCCCAAGGTGGTGATTATTTTTAGCTTAGAATGCTTGAGGAAATCCTGGGATTGTCTATAATTTTAATAGTTGAATGGTCACAGTTCGAAGTCTTAGTATCCTAATTACCTCAACTCCAAGCTAGTAATATAAGTACTGTTTTTATTGCAAGGCAAAATAGTTATGAAGTTTAGTCTTTCTTACCCTATTCAGTTGTCTTTTCACTCACTGAAGAATAATATTTTCTGGGTTACTGATGTGAGGTTCAGAAATGTGGTTCACACAGCTCTCCTTATAGTAGCAGTAGCCTTGCACCTATAGAAACGGTCATTTCCATCCTGTGCTAATTGCTTTTATGCTCTTATGGAAGACTGCTTTGCCTGTCTTCTGTATAATGGAATTCAGAAGTAAGTGCAATTACCGTGTTTTGTTTTGTTTTGTTTAGATAATCTAGGCATTTGTCATGTTATGCCCTTTTTTTAGGTTCAGTTCCTTCTTAGCCCTTAATTAGTCAAAATGCTATAATTCCTTAAGATGACCGAAAACTCAGTGTCCCTTAGCTGAGTTTCTGTAACATAACTCAACAAAAGTTTATTAACCTGTGTGCTAAGTTTATACATATGGTGAGCATAGGTACTGGATTTTCAGGTACAATTCTAATGTCAGAAATACTGGTCTGTATTTAACCAAGTTTGCATACTGAAAAATATGCTTACAACACAGGTAATGTCAATGAAGCCAGTTTAGTCATTTGATTTTGTTTTTTGGTCAGCCAGTTCAATTGATTTTTTTTTTACT